TTTTAGCATGAAAGTTTTCAGTTTTTGACCATTTAGTATGATGTTGGCTGTTGGTTTTTCATAGATAGCCTTAATCAGATTGAGATAAAGACCTTCTATTCCAATTTTCTGTAGCGTTTTTATCATGAATGGGTGTTGGATTTTGTCGAATGCCTTTTCTCCATCTATTGAGATGATCATATGGTTTTTGTCCTTGACTCTGTTAAGTTCGTGTATTACATTTATTGATTTACAAATGTTGAACCATCCTTGCATCCCTGGGATAAATCTGACTTGGTCAGGGTGTGTGATCTTCTTGATGCAGGATCCTGATTCTTTACATTAAATACCTGTTGTGTTTTGTATGAGTACATTTTTCAGAATGTTTTTTCACTTGGTTGTTTTTGTATTTGAAATAAAATGGGCTCAATCCAAAAGAAACAGACTGCTGTGTCTTTTGTTCAAGAAACACCCAGGGACAAGATACCATAGCTTGCCTCATTGCAAGTCTTGAAATTCTTTGCTTTCTCTAACCTAAAAAACAATAGGTTGTAAGCTCTGTGAAGACAAGAAAGCCTCTTCCTTTTATCACTTAATTTATTTTTTTAACTTGTGCAGAAACATACAAAAAATTGTACATATTAATAAGGTAATGGGATGTTTTCATATACGTGTGCATTGTGTAGTATTTAAATTGGGTTAAACACATTTGTTGAAACAGTTATCACTTCTTTTGGTGAATACTTTCGATGCACTTTCTTGGTGCTTCTACAATGTATAGTTTGTGATGTTATCTGTAGTTAACCTGTGTTACAGTCGCACACCAGAACTTGCCACTGTGTAACTATAGTTTAGTACTAATTGATTAACCTTCTTCCTCTGCTCTGCCTGGCTTCTGGTAACCGTGATTTACTTTCAGTGTCTACGAGATCAACTTTTTATATTTCACATAAGTGAGAGCACTGACCGTTGTCTTCTGGTTTCTGGCTTTTTTCACTCAACGTAATGATCTCTAGTTTCCTTCGTGCTGTTACAAATGCTAGGATTTCATCCTTTCTATGGCTGAATAGTATTCCACAGCCTGTATGTACCATATTTTCTATTTATGCATTATTTTTTGGTACCGAGGATCGAACTTAGGACCTTGTGCTTGCGAGGTAGGCAGCGGCACCACTGAGCTAAATCCACCAGCCTATTTATGCATTATGAGTTGATGGACATGTCGGTTGTTTCTGGTTCTTAGCTACTGTGAATCGTGCTGCAGTATACACAGGGATACTGTTGTGAATAGTACTACAGCCAACCCAGGCATGCGAACGCTAGTGTCTCTTTAGCACACTGATTTTATTTCCCCGGAGAATTTATGGGGCTGGGTTCAGTGTATGCACCAGCGCATGTCCTGAGTGACGCGTGTAACTTCCCTTGTTACAGTTGCACTGCAGTGCCCTGGTGTGGAGTTTGTTGCTAGCTTGTCTGATCGTCCCAATGGCATCTTCAAAGAGGATGGAAAGCGATGTTTCATCTCCATTTTCAGGCAAGGAAAATCGGGTTGACAGCAGAAGGTCTTCCCGGGGCCTCGGCCGGAGTCAGAGGTGCTTTGTTCTCTCCAGAAATCCAGGTCCCTGGGGCCACTCGGGACGCGCCGGCCGCTCCTCCGTGCGGAGGTTCCTGCTTTCGAGGACTTTGACGGACTCTTCTTCATTTTCAGATTACAGGACCGGGCCGTGCTTTACAGTGGTCAGCAACCAGATGTGCCAAGGCCAGCTCAGCGGGATCGTCTGCACGAAGACCCTGTGCTGTGCCACCGTGGGCCGGGCTTGGGGCCACCCCTGCGAGATGTGTCCGGCCCAGCCCCACCCCTGCCGCCGCGGCTTCATCCCCAACATCCGCACCGGAGCGTGTCAAGGTAAGCGGGCTCTCCGCTGCGCCGGGGCAGGAGAGCCAGGCAGGGTCCCACGCAGCGCCACAACGTCGCTGCTGCCTGACACCGGCCCAGGCCTCAGCGTGGCTGAAGAGAGAGCGGCTGGAGTCTCCTGGGGTGTCCTTGCGAGAGCTCCCCCTGACCCCAGAAGCGTTTCCGCATCCTTCTGACTGCAGGCTGCTGGGGTTCTGTGGGCCCCAACACCGCTCACTGAGGCAATGCCCTGAAAACACACAAAGCAAGATTTGGGAGCAAAGTAGGATGCATTTATTTTCTCACTCGGAACCATGGGGTTCCTCTGTCTCATGGGCTGTACTGAACTGACCTGAAGAACAGTTCCTCTCCGCGTTACACGTGCTACGTTGTGGAATTTTTTTTAACAAGTCAGAAATAAATTAGGTTCGGTTTCACAGTTTTAAATATCCCCAGATGTCTCCTCCTCGCTGCTGCTTCTGCCTCCCCTAGAAGCCCTTCCTCTGTTTTTGGCTTTTGCTCCCATTCCTCCAGCTGTACAAATTCTTTTATTGTCTGGATGTCTGGCAGGAAGCAGGAGGAAGTGAGCAGGGGCCGCTCTGAGCTAAACTGATGGGATGAAAACTCCCGGGCCAGCTGCTCCCTTTAGACCTCGCCACTGCTTTTTATAGCCACTTGCAGTATTTTCAAAATAGTCAGGACCTGCCTTGTTGGGGCAAATGGCTAATACCTTGGGTCGGTTCTATCTGCTGATTCTACAGTTGATGCACAAGAAATCGACTCCAGCTCAGTCACACAGTTCTGCAGGTCTCCAGTGAACTGCGCTCCAGTAGATTCCACTGCTGGTGGTGTTGCTCCTGGCCCGACACCCAGCCACCTTTGCATGCCCTTGAACATATCCTTGTGAAGGTCAAGAGCAACAGGAAGTCACTTGGGAACCCTGAGATGATAAAGGGATTGATCATAGGGTTTTATAGAACAAGGAGGAGGTGCCTCCGTTGGTGCCTGCTTATTTTTCTTATTCTGATGAAGTCCCAGTGAGATTTGACCCCGTCTTGGTCTTGGTGTTCTGATGTCAGCTGATACCCATGAGTGTGGTGACAGGGCCAGGTCCTGTCCCTGAGCCCCTGTGGGAAGGTTGGGTGCTAGCAGAAGCAGGGGGCAGGGGGAGAACTGGGGAGGGGGAAGAACTGTTTGCTGTTCATGTCTTACGATCTGGATTTTTCCCGAATTTGCTTCCCATTCCTGCTTGGCTACTAGTCAACATCTAAGGAAAAAAAGTGTTTTTTTAAAAACTGAGAAATTTGGTGAAAGCCAGTGGAATCAAAATAGCAGTTATACTGCCACTCAGAGAATGCAGTTCTTCATTTTGTTGTTGTTGTTGTCATTTTTTTACTTTTTGATTTCTGGAGAGATTCTTCCAGCCATGTGGAGGACTCTTGCTTTTTGCTGGGGTGTCCAGCCCTTGGGTCAGATGTGGGGACAGGGGATGGGTTCATAAAGGAGCTTGTTCTGTCTTCAGCCTTGGACACACAGCCAGCCAGTGGCTGCCCTCGTGTTGATCTCCTATTGGCCAAGAGAGACTGTCTAGCTTTGCCTAGATGTAAAATCTCTATTTCAAATAACATTTTAATAAACATATCCAACATCTTGTATGAGGACCATGGAAAACTCTGGTCTAAGACAAAATTGAAATTGCCTATGAAACCTAATCCAGTTATATTTCATATGACCATTTGTTTCTGGGTCAGGGCATTGCATATAAGACGGGAGGTGACACTTTTATTCCAAAATAACAGTTCTTCCTTGTCTAACCCTTTCGCTTCATGCCAGCTGTCTCCAGGGACGGGGGTCAGAAGCCTACAGACACAGCCCCTTTCTTGCTTCCTCAGTAAAGAGGGGCGCTAAAGAGGACGCTTGAGTTCCAGATTTTTACAAGATTATTCATGTAGAGGAAGAAGTATTCAGGTGCTTCACTGGGGGCGTTATTAGATCAGTCCTTTCTGTGTTAGCAGTGAAGAGGTGGAGGGCACATAAATGCACTTTCATAGTCTTCATAACTGAATGTAGTGAGCTTGGGCTATGTAATTCTGCTCTGGGAAGGTTAATATTGGGGTTACTCATAGGGCCACAGGTTAGTTGTCAGGTGTTGGGGATAGGAGCATTGTATGAAGTGGACAGAGCTCTCTGGAAGCCTGTATTGAAGACAATTTATGAAACAAAACAAAACAGATGCAATCGAGTGAGCTGGCGGTGAGGGTCGGGGCCTGGATGTTGCTGTTGCATGGGCTGATGAGGCTTTGGAGCAGAGATGAAAGGATGGGAGAGATGGACGGGTGGAGGGACATTCCAGGCAGAGGAGCCGCCTCTCCAGCACCCAGAGGTGCATTCCGAGCTGTCTAGGACTTAGCATAGACTTGCATTTTGAGCTGGGAAGGCCACAATCCAACTTCTAGAACAGTTTCTTGAGCCACTGCCCTGCCAGAAGGTCAGCCTGCAGTTGGACACATGTTCACTGGGGCTACTGGACTGCTGGCCCTGATTCGCTAAGTTGTTTAATTTCTACCACACAAGACAACTCGGTAGAAGGTGTGGGTAGAGGGAGATGTCCACTTCATTTGTGCAGAAACATCAGCTATCTTGTAGAGGGACCTTAGGTCAATTGTGTTTTAATGCAGTCATTTAGTGCAACTTTGCAAGATAACTTCATTGTAAACATGTATTGCATTTTAATCTTTAAGCAGTTTTTGAATAATTGATTCCTGCTGCCAATCTGGGTATTTTAATGAGACAGTGAATACTAGCCTTTCTATCATTACATTGTTATACTTTGCTGCATCTGTAATAAAGCCGACAAGTTAGTAGGAAAGAGTCTCCCCTACATGAGGGAAGATGGAAGTTGGGAAATAAAGAATACTTTGTATAGAACAATATTGACCAAACTATCTTCATAATGTGATTTATTTTACATACTGTAATTATGAGACAGTTTCTCTCATTCTAATCCAACTCCTGGGTGCACACATTGGTATAAATATGCTAATATAATTGTGGATAAACTATCACATTTTCTTCTGCAATGAATTTCATATGAGTCTTTCTGTCTCTCTTTTAAAATCTGACAGATGTGGATGAATGCCAGGCCATCCCCGGGCTCTGTCAGGGAGGAAATTGCATTAATACTGTTGGGTCTTTTGAGTGCAAATGCCCTGCTGGACACAAGTTTAATGAAGTGTCACAAAAATGCGAAGGTAAGAAATCTCATGCTTTGCTGCCGAGGGGTGTGGGGAGGCAGACACAACTCAGCATCTGCAACAAGCTTGTTTGCAAATTATTCCTAAACCCTCCTGTCTTTGTCCTCCCTGTAGAAGTGTAAATATAATATTCCTACCAGGAGTAATACGCCTCTGTGTCGCTGAACCAGAAAAGCCCTGCAGCCTTTTCCACTTTTATAGACTCAAAATAAGAGGTCCATCTGAATCACATTAAATGTTAAAGCATGAAATATTTTTGAACCAACATTTGGTTTAAAATGTTCGAGACACATGTTTTTGCATAGTTCTACAGACATGGATTTAAACTTGATCATTAGATATCATTCAGCATGATGTGTCTCCTGATGTTTTTCTAGATAAAATGTATGTTTGATTTTTTGGGGAGCAGGAAGACCAATTAACTCTTATGTTTATGCTCCTAGTACAAGCTTAGGATTTACATTTCTAGGGTGTGACATATGCCTACCAAATGGAAACCTTTCTAATGTTAGTCAAACAGAAATGTAACTTGGGGCAAATTTTTATATTTATTTTATATATTTATATAAATATATATCTTATATATTTATATATTTCTAATATATTTATATTTATATTTATTTTAGTTGATAGCTTGGACTTCTAAAAAAATGTGTATCTGAAGATGTGTTCATTTTTGCCACTACTGTTCCTTGCAGAAAGAGGCCTGGTTTCCAAGTGCAATAATAATCGCTTTGTGAGAAAGATGCGCCCAGAAAATGAGTGGGTGGCACTGAGCTCTCTTCTTTCACAGAGTTCGTGTCACTTACATCCACTTAGGTCTGGTAGTAATGGAAAAATATTCTCAAAGCCACATCTTTTACCAAGCTCATAACAGAGAATGTTTTCCTTCATTTTTAAATTGTTGTATCTTTGCGATACACAATACATTTATCTTGGGGAATCACTTGGTATACGTATAACATCTTGGTAATTTTTAATTCGCTTATTGAAAACAAGTGCTTTGTATCTTTCCTCCTTGACGCTAGCAATGAGGACTAATCCATTTGGAGTTATTTGTCTGGACTTGCTTCCGTAGCCCCTTTCTTGTTTGCCCTGTGTATCGTACCAGCAAAAGACACCTTTAAATTTAAGGTGCAGTTCATAATGTGACATGTCAGACATTTAATATTTACTCACCCTGAATGAAATAATCTAACTCTGATAGAATTATTTTTAGAGTTGGAGTTATGTTTAGATTATTCATCATCATACCACTTATAAATTGCTATTGCACGCTTGACTGTTTTGCATAGTTATTTGAGAGAGCTATGAAAACTATGTCAAGCCTTTCTGAAATAGGGCTTCTTAGAAATGTTTAAGCTTTCAAAGAAGGACAAAATCAACTCTCTGTAGGTGAATGTATTGTAGAAGGCGTGTTGTACATCAGAGTTGGAAGCAGTGTTCATACTGAAAGGGACAGAAAAACTCACCTGATCCTACCCTTTGACTCTGAATAAGGAACACTGCATCTTGAAGAGCATCCAGAGAGTGCTAACATTGGCCTCTTTTGACTCACAGTCTGGCGTTTATTATTGAATTGTCCTGTTTTCCTACATGAAGGCTTTGACTCTACTTTAATGATGGTATTTTCTAATATTTGGAACTCTAAAATGTTATGGCATACGTCTTCTGTCTCTTGCTTTTCGCTCAGTTAACAGTCAAGCGTGGTCTGTGGATATGGACAGGCGGCACGCACACAGCGAATGCTCAGACTGAAAGAGAGGTTCAAGCCCTTTTATTAATGCTGAGAAACCTATTATGATGGTAGTTTATCCAGTGGATCAGAAAGTTTCATCCAGGGAATTGCTTAATCCTTTCAATACACACGAAACATTTTTTCCCCAGCTACATATTAGAATCAGTAGCAAGATAAAAGCAGAATATTTTTGCTAGACTTTTTTCCCCCTCTGCCATCTATTATTACGTTAGATAATTTTTCTCCTTCTTTTTAAATTTTTCTATGCAAAATTTATCTTAGATGAGAATATCCTGTTAGTCTTCGATGGACTCTGCCCTCACGGCTGATCTGAACACTGTTGGCCCATCTTGCTCAGCAGGAAGATCTTCAGAAAGTCCTCTGAGACTTCTTGGCAAGGCAGGGCCCTCCTTCAGCTCCCTTGTTCTCTTCCAGTTATGAGATTCTGTACGCCCCTGAGCAGGGTGGTCAGGCATAACGGTGGGGCTCTGTGCCCTGTGTGTTAGTTAGTTACTGTGACAAAATACCTGCAGTGATCAGCTTGAAAAGAAGAAAGGTTTATTTTGGCTCACACTTGCAGAGTTTTTAGTTCATGGTCACTTGCCTCTGTGCTTGTGATGAGGCCACATCTCATGGTATGAGCAACTAGCAGAGGAGCTCTGTTCCCTCATGGCAGCCAGAAAGTGAATGGGGGAGGAGAGAGATGCTGGGGCTTCAGTCTCACCTTCAAGGGCATGCCCCCATGACCTACCTTTGCATAGCTTGCTTCACCCTCCCTCCCAGCAGCACAGCAGGCTGGTGACGAAGCTGCCCACACACAGCCATGGGGCGGGGGCATTCGAGACCCACACTATAGCACTTGTTCTGGTGCCGTTGCCATTACTTTGTGTGCTTTTTTAGTCAGATCTCCCTTTTGACTCAGAAAAGAAGAAATCAGGTACTTTTTATAGTAATCATTAAAAGTTCTGGTTCAATCTGCTCTGTCTTAGTAGATTCACAAGGGCTCACCCACACTCCTTAGGTGCAAGAAGGCTCCATTCAAATTGCTTTTCCCAGACTTTATGAAGAAAACCTCAGTAGCACGGGAACTAGCACAAAGAATCAACAACTGGGATCTCACCTTATTAAAAAGCTTCTGCACTGCAAGAGAAACCACCAACAGAGCTAAGAGACAACCTACAATGTGGGAAAAAATTTTTAGCAGCTGTAACTCAGACAAAGGGCTACTATCTAGAATATATAAAGAACTGAAAAAAATCAGACCTCCCAAATGTAAAGACCCAATCCAAAAATGGGCATCTGAAATGAACAGACATTTCTCAGACGAAGAAGTAAAAACAGCAAATAAACATATGAAAAATGTTACTGGTCATTTGAGAGATGCAGATGAAAACAACACTCAGATTCCACCTCACCCCAGAAAGAATGGCTGCTGTCAAGAAGTCATCCAATAACAAATGCTGGTGGGGATGTGGGGAGAAAGGAACCCTGCTCCACTGCTGGTGGGAGTGCAGGCTGGTGCAGCCACTGTGGAAATCAGTATGGAGATACCTCAAAGAACTAGGACTAGAGATCCCATTTGACCCAGCTATTCCCCTGCTGGGGATCTTCCCCAAAGAATTAAAAGAATCATACCACAGTGATATATGTGCACCCATGTTCATAGCAGCACAGTTTGTAATAGCTAAAACTTGGAAGCAGCCCAAATGCCCATCAGCTGGAGACTGGATAAAGTAAATGTGTTTTTTTGTATAAAATGGAGTACTACTCAGCCATAAAGAACGAGAAACTAGAGACATTTATAGCTAAGTGGATGCACATCGAGGCCATAATCTTAAGTGAAATAAATAGGACACACATGTGTAAATACCAAATAGTTTCTCTGGTGTGAGAAACTGAAATTATAAATAAGGATTAACATGATTAAAATGAATAATTGATAATTTGAAATAGGAAGAAAAGGTCCAAAGGGGTAGGGGCGTTGGGAGGGGAAGGGGAAAGGAAAGAAGGGAAATGAAAAATTATGAGAAAAGGAAAAAATGGAAATGAAATCTATGCAAATAGGGAAGGGTGGAGGGGGGTGAAGGGAAGACAGGGAATGGGGAGAAAATAAGAACCAAGATACATCATGTACAGGTACAAGCACCCAATGATAAATATAAATGTATTGTATACCTAAAATGTACCAATAAAAGAACTTAAGGAAAAAAACAAAAACAAAGTCAAAAAACCAAATTGCTTTTCCTGAGATCTTCCTTCTGGAGAGGCCTCACTTCCTTTTGACAGTATGCTCCTCTTCCCAAAACTTAAATAAATACAATGTTTTCACCAAGGTTTATATGTGAGCAAATAACCACAGTGTAGGTACAGTTTAAATATAAATGAACAAGCTAAAGTGATTATATAATAATCATAAAGTTTTCGTACATGTAGGAAGAAACATTTTCATACATTTGGGATTTATAGCTGTGATTTAGGAAAAGGGGAAGTAGGGCTCATGCCTGCCTCTTTGCTGATTTTCCTGATGGCTGTGGAGTGTATATACTGAAAGAACACACGAGCCTTTTCCTTTTGGAAACCAGGTTCATATTTGCATAGGTTACTGTGGGAGGAAATTAAGAAATAAAAATCATAATTAAGGGATTAAGTTTTATTTCTGGAAGGAGTCTCTTGGCTTCCTAATTAACCACTAATATTTTGGGATTTAGATTGTCAAGCCAGCCTTTAGCAATTAGAATAGCACTGCATGATGCATAAGGCTTTTTAAAACATGTGGCTCTTAAATCCATGGCCTCCCTCATACGTGAGCCAAAAACCTCAGGATTTCTCCTTTCCAAAATAATGGCATATTTATCTGATGGCTCCTTGCTCTGAGGAGCTCTTATCCTGTGGGACGCCAGGGAGAGCTCTGGGGACTGCTGAGCCCATTGCCAAGGGCGAGGCTTCCTTCTCTGCAGCTGGCTGCCGGTCGTGATTCTTACAGCCTGAGATAACTGCTCCTGAAACAACGAGTCGAACAAAATCTACAGGACAGGCAAAAGAGCCCGAGGATGAGGTCGACCTGGTCCGGTCTTGGTGGTCTGCAGTCCTCTCCGTGATCTTAGACACGTTAGTTACCGTCGCTGAGTTGCTTCAGCTCCCAGATGAGGAGGTTGAAGAGCATGACACGTGGAGATAGCCTGGCCCGCTATCCAGACTCCACTTGCCCTTACTGGCGTTTCTAAGGTCTAGGGTGGGAAGAATGTCAGAACAGAGAGACGGAGGAGGAGGAGGAAGAGGAGGGGGTAGGGGGAGGGGGAGGGAAGGGCAGGGCAGGGCAGCAGGGAGGGAGGGAACCTACTGCCTGTGTTTCTTCTCAGGGTCCCAGTGAGAGCCACCAAGGGTCCTGCCTGGCTACTTCCTGGCGGCTCTCCTGTCCCCTCCTGCCACCTCAGGGGATAAGGAGAGCTGCCCAGAGCCAGGGAGTCTGTTGTCCAGCTAAGCCCCTGCCCACCAGGCCACCCCAGCTCGAGTTCTCTTGTCACCAGCATTACATACAGACCGACTTACAGAAACTGTGCATGTCACCATTCTCAAGTTCCCCATCGCCTGGAGTCCCTGAAATTCTGTTAACAGGAGATAAACAGAGTGATCAGAGCTTGGAGAAATAATGCTTCAGGGAGAACGCATTCCAGAGTGCCGCTCCAACTCACATCCTTTTTGCTGGCCCGTTGCTCTCAGGGACTTCTGAGGTCACGGCTCCTGGTTCCATCATTGGAAGCAACGGGGTGAGAAGCATGGTCGTCCTTAGGTCAGAGGCTAGGCACCAGAAGGAAGAGGGTGAGTCACCTGAGGGGACTCGGGGACTCGCAGGTGTTTAGGCCCCTTTGGGTATAATGATTTGTCCCAGTTCCCCTGATGTGACTGGAAGTGAAGATGTGCATCTGGTCTGTTGGCCTCTGGGGGAGTAACTCCCACCAGCCGACGACCTTACAGACAGTGGGGCTCTGCGCTTATTTCATGTTCTGCTCATGTCAGCTTTCTGACGGCTTCCGCATAATGAGGGAGAGATGCCTGCGCCCAGGCATGTGGAAATCAGGCCCCACGGTCACGCTGTGGGGATGAGGTGAAAAGACATTGGCCTTGAGACAGCACCTGCCACTCAGCACCCAGGAGAACTGTCCTCATTATTCCTGTCCTTATGGTAATCTTCAGTAAAGGGTTCAAGTCTACTCCAGCTGGCATGTGAAAGATATGAATCTGTCTTAATTCAGTAACTTTCTCTGATAGATATGCGGTCACTTAACCTATTTGGATAGTCATACATCTTAAGTGGCATTAATAAGGATGGTAGCAGTCATTTATAGTAAGAGGTTGAAAAAATACTTTCTAATAGACACTGCCCCTCACATGTTTCTGGTAGTTGTTATGTGACTCAGACATTAATGTTTAGGAATACTTTGAGCAGAGTACATTCTTCTTAATACTTTGGCCTTTTGATTGTATCTTCCTCTGTCCTTAAATGAGGTTTTAAATGCTGTAGGCTCTTGCATACATTTGCTTCATGAGTTAGGTGTAAGCATGGCTTGGGAAATACAACAAGAGGACCTATTTTTAAGAGCTGCCTTACAAAGTGCCTTTGAGCTATTGTGCCCGTTCTTGAGCCTTAAGCTCTGCCCTTGGAAGTTTCTTTGCCTGACTGCTTTGTGCCAGTGAAATTTTTATCTGTTGGAATACAGTAAGCACCTTTACCATTACCCAGCATCACAGTGACCGTGCTGTTTATGTTAGCATTGACTCCAATATAAGCAGTGAAATACTGTTTGTTTTATCATCTAGCATAGCAGAGGAGAATGGCGATTTTGCTTTTCAGAAGGCTAGACAGTGTCCTTGTTGCCTTGTGAGTCAGAGCAGGCTTGAATCGGATCCACTTAGAACCCAGTTTTGTTTTCCTAATGAAGAGCAGCCCGCAGCCTGGAGAAGATGCCCTCGATGCTTGCTTCGAGGTTCTAGGTCTCTCTGAGTTTTGGCAGTGTCACCTGGGCATTGTGTACTCCCAGGGGTCTGGGGCAAATCCCTCCTCTCCCTGGATGGGTGTGGGTGGCCCTACTTGTTTGTCCTAGGGAGCAGGGAATGTGGATCTATCTCCCAGGCTCTGAGTTCACTTCTAGCCAAAGCAAGACATTCTTGATTTCTTCTCTCCCCTACCTGGTGCCACTTACTGACATTTGTCCATGGGTGGGTCTGACTATTGCAAAGCTCCCCTTAGAGGAAACAGTCAGATTTGTCCTGAGGGATGTTTATTGCTTCCTTGGAGACTGGTAGCCTCAGGGTTGGAGGACTGACCCCAACTTTGGCCTCCGTGGCATTCAGGATGTTTATTAGATGTTATGGGACTGGAGGAAGAATAGGGGGAAAAGCAGGAGTGTGCAGATGAGAAGCTGAGCTATGGTGGGGCTGCCCCAGGGGGAAGTGAGAATGGGAATGGCCTTCAGAGTTGTCCTCCTGGGTCAGAGCACCAGGCCTCTGTCCCTCTCCCAGGATTTGCCATCAGGTGTGGCATCGCTGGGGAGGATGTGACCCAGGCAAGGCAGCATTCTGTGGCTCAGGCAGTCCCAGAAGAGTCTGAGAGCCAGAGCCAGACTACCCAAGCCTCTCCACAGCTGGCGGAGCCAGTCTTCCCAGGGAGGAAGAGCTGAGCAGAGAACCAGAGTGCGCTGCAGTGCATTCACCCAGCGTGCTTTGAGCAGACCACAGAAACTATCACAGTGGCTTGGGGCCGGGGACCCTGAAAACCAAGCCACCCCCTCCCACCCTTCTGCTCCAGTTAACTAACTCTTGGCCAGCGCTAAGGGCAGGAGGACATCTCTGAAGGATTTCTGTACCTGCTTTGTGGAAAGTCAGGTTGAAAAGAAATACGGGAAAGACATAGCATACAAAAGAACTAGGCAAGTTTAACTCAGAGGAAAACAGGGAACGAACAGGGAAAAAACACAGCCAAAAAAAAATGACGTTGGGAATATTAGCACACTATAGGTATTTGGTGAAACAGCTGTACACACTTTTAAATTCCAGAGATGGGTGAGTTGATTTTGCTGTGATCTCTTGAATTTGGCAAACCCCTGGATAAGTCTGGGCTGCGAGAAGCACCCCTCTTGAATGAGCTGTTCTTCTTGCAGCTTTTATTTGGTAAAGATGGCAGTTTCCGGGGACGCGACTGTATGTGCTCCTTCTGATTCTGCACCTAGGAACAGTTTCATCTGGTGTTCTACAAATACCGAGACTGTTCTTTATGTTCCAGATATTGATGAATGCAGCACCTTTCCTGGAATCTGCGACGGGGGTGAATGTACGAACACTGTCAGCAGTTACTTTTGCAAATGTCCGCCTGGGTTTTACACCTCTCCTGATGGAACCCGATGCATAGGTAGGTTTAATTTCAGACAGTGTCGTGGTTTCTATGTCAGTTCCACAGCGAACATCTTTTGACATAAGTTTGTTAAGGGGGCGCATCTCTCTCCCTCAAGGTAAAAATGTACATTTATGAAAATGTACTGAACAGTGGAGCAGCCTCTTAAAGAACAGAAGCATCTCAAGGTCTTGTTTTGGAACTTGTTGCTTCCCATAAAAGAGGCATGATCAGGAGGCCTTCGAGGTATGTGGAGTCTAAGCCAACAGTGCCAACCTTGAAGCCATCCCTGACCTCACCCCCTGTGACCCCTGCCTCCATTCATTCCCAGGGGTCTGTGTTAATTTAGGTCTGAAATTTCACCTTAACCTTTTAATTGGTGTCCCTCCTTCCTGGCTTCTCTACAATCCATCTTGTCAGACTTATCTTCCTAAAGTAATGCTTTGATTAAATAACACTCTTGCTCAAAAACCCTTGGTAGTTTTCCACTGGGACTTGGAAACTGGTGATTTTCATTCTTCGTCCAGTGGATATTTCAAGGGCTGCTAAAGCCAGAGACAGGGCTGGGGCAGTGACAGGGAAAGCTGCTGTGCCTACACCCACATACACACCAGGCATGGTCATTCTGCTCTCATCTGGTCGTAGGCGCCACATAAGTTACCAATGAAATAGATTTGAGAGCTGCTGGATTTCACAGTCGCTAAGACTTCCTTCAAAGTCTAGTATTGTAGAATGAAATTCCAGTTCCAGAAGCCATAGCCTGATTGCACAGGGGCTCACTGTCAAGTCAGTGACCTAGCAGCACAGTTGGGCCTTCTCGCCCGAGTGGCCCATCCTTTGAGTTCCTTCATGCCTCAGTCACACGTGTCACAGCCCTGTGAGCATCCTTCTTCCCGACTACAGCCCCCTTTCCATACCTGTAAGGCGTCCCAGCCCAGGCGACTTAGAAAGTTCTCCCTTACCCAAGCATGCGCTTCTCATGACGGGAAGCAAGCGATGTGTCTTGCTTGTATTATCCTCCTGCCCAGGCAGTGAGCTCTCTGTGAGGAGGACAATGCCCTCCTCTCCCTGCTGCTGCCCAGCACACTTTTGTTCATGTGCCAGGCACTCGGTAAGCATTTGTTGAACATCAAAATTGAGTAATTTGTTGTTTGGGTAAAGCTAGGAAGCCTGTGGCACAGAGTCTTAGGGAAAGAGAAATGCTGTTGTTTTGATGTTTGTTTCTGGTCCATATTTTCAAAGACACTCAGCTCACCAGAGATTTCAAACCAAAACAGAAGTGTGGGCGAAGTTCTGAATTCCTTTTTACTTAGTCACGTATGCTGTCTCTTGGAGTTGACATTTGAAGAATTGAAACTAGTGGGGAGGTATATCTAGAATTTCCTTAGAAAAACAGTGGTGTCCGGGTGGCCTGACATCCCCGGATCTGTCCTAGACACTGGAACTAGAGAGGAAGAATCACAAGTGCAGTTCACATAGAGCAGTCCTTTTTCTCCCCAAACTGCCCCCATTAGCACGAGATCTCCTGTGGATAGGATCAGCAAAGGATAAAGCAGGAGCTTTTCTCTTCCCGACTGTAGATATTGCTTCTGAGCCTCAAATACAGCCTCCAAACTGGGTTAAAAGGATTAAAATACACTTACATATCAAAAAGTTTACATTTAAAAACTACTTTTTATTGAATGTGTCCATACTGGTCTGGCCTTGTGGTGCACACCTGTAATCCCAGCTCTCTGGGCGGTTGAGGCAGGAGGGATGCAAGTTTGAGTCCAGCCTGGACAGCTCAGCAACTGAGTGAGACCCTATCTTTTTTTTTTTTTTTTGGTGCTGGGAATCGAACTCGGGTCCTTGCGCTTATGCAGCAGGTGGTGAAACCACTGAGCTAAATCCCCGACCCTGAGTAAGACCCTATCTTGAAATCTAAAAAATTAAAAATTAAAAAGGCTAGGGATGTAGTTCAGTGCAAAGACCCTGGGTTCAATCCCCAGCATGGTAAAAGACAATGAATCAAACAAAACCCAATAGGTATACATGTTGACCTTTTACAAAGGAAGGAGGAGAGGAACTAAGATTCATGGCTCATCTCTTAGATGTGAGATATGTAAATTAAGTGATTTAATGTTCAAAACCACTTTGTAGATGGAAAGAAGCTGAGATTCAGAGAGGCTAGGTAAATAATTTGGGCCAGTGGTTTAAGCAGGAGATTAGAGAGGGTGCTGGGATTCCTTCATAGGTGGTCTGAGTCTGTAGTCCCAGACTTCTGTGAACACCAGGTGCCGTTAGCTTTCTTGCCCCATCCCTAGACAAGCACTCTCTCCTCCTTGGAAGCTTATTGTAGCAGCAGTGATCAGCTTGCTATACATAATGATCCAAGGAACTTCCCTAACCTTCATATTTCTGTCCAACCACAGACAACCCCCGAAAATACAAATGGTTCCCAACTCATAAATGAATCCAGATGTGTTAACTTTTCCTCATCGTTACCAAATATGCAAAAAAATCAACTTAGGGGAGGAAAGATAGATTTGGGCTCATGGCTTCAGAGGGTTTAGTCCATGAGTAGCTGGCTCTGTGGCTTCTGGGCTATGTAAAGCGAGCGAGCAGCATGGCAAGGTGTGTACTGTAGACCAAAGCAGCTCACTATGCAAAGTATGGTTGATAAAAGGCAGAGATAGCAGGAAGTGAGCCTGAGAGGAAGGCAATGGGGTCCAAATATGGTCCCCAAGGTGAGGCCCCATGATCCACTCCCTTCAGTTGGACCCCACCTCCTAAGTTTCCATCACTTTCCAATAATACCATCAAATCATGACCGCAACGGATTAACCCACTGATGAAGTTAAAACCCTTATGATCTGATCACCTTCTGAAATCCCCACCTCTGAAGATGTAACCTTTTGGGGGAACATTTTTATCTACACTGTAATACCAAGGTTGCTTGTAAGTTGATTGCTTGGAATAGAAAACTAATAGAAATCCCTGTATGTAGACAGTGGCATGTGATACCTTCTTTATACATTTCTTATAACCATGAAATTCCCACCCTTATGTTCTGCTCCCACATTCTGACTCTCTCAGACTTTCACAGTCCAGTGCTCCATTTGCCCTCTAAGCTCTTGCAGTATCATGTATTTTCTGGAATTTCCCTTTGGTACTTGATTGTACATAATTTAGGGTTTTCCTTTTGTAATGATAGTGTGCTGTATCTCCTCAACTTGAAGTGCCATGGGATATTCTGTCCCACGGTGGCTCTCACAATGCCTGGGTCCTGCTTGGATCCAGCAGTGTTAATGATTGGCTAGGAGAAGTCTAGGATGGCCTGAAAACATCAGGATTTGTTTTGGTCTAATGTGATTTCTGGGTCCTGTGAGTAAAGGCCACGTGATTCAGAAGACAGGAAATATTCCTGTCTTTCCTGTTCCTTTCCTGCCAGGTGTCTTCGCCAGGATAGATTGAAGGTGGACAAAATTCTGTGAGTCCTCCTGCTTCTCCTTATGTCCTCCAGACCCTGACAATCTCTGTCCCTGGCTCCTGTGGCTCTTCACATTATCCTAGAACTACCCTTTACCTCCGTACAGTAATCCAGCCCCAGAAGAGGCCTTCTTCCGGTTATAGTTCTGCTGCTGGAGGAAACAGGGTGCTTCCGGCTGGTGTGCCTCGGGGTTCAGTTCCTCCAGATGGTTGCAGCCTTCAGTTTTCTCTTTCCTTCTTAGCTTATAGGTTTTTCTTTAAAATTAAAAGTTGTGTAAATATGTATTTTTAAAACAAAGTTTCTCCTCCACCACCCCCACCGCCCCAAAAAAAAGAAAAAGGAAAGAAATGCAAAATGATTATTGTATGGGCAGGTGCCATTTGTAGGTCAGGAACTGCCAGTAACCCAAATGTAACTTGTAATTTTTTTCAGCTCCAATATTCATGATTTTGATCAAGTGCCTGTGACCCACTGATTTAACATATTAGCCAGCCAGATGGGCAGTAACACAGTATCGTACTTAATTTGCAAGATGATAGACATTATTCCATTAAGCGTTTACCATTGGCAGCTGTGGTCCCATTTTTGCTCTGAAGGATAGCCCACGCTGAAAATTATATGTACAGATCGCATAATTTGGTCAAGTGTTTACACTGGGTTTTAACCACCAAATTCATTTGAAGCTGGGATATAAGCCAGTTTTGAGTATCTCTTCTCACTCTTAAGAGCCTTTGGTTTCCATGCCCAAAATATTTACTAGATGAGTATGTAAGGTATTAGTGGCTTTAAGGCATTGCAAATTAGGAAATAGGAACTTCTGCTTCTCCCCGTCTTCATGAGGGTTGGGACTTCAGAGAGCGTACTTGTCTGCGCCCTTTCTCCAGGAATTTGTCCCGGGTCAGACTGGAATTAAGCTTGTTCTGACTTTTTGCTGGGACTGTTAATCTGGCCAGAGGCTTAGGAACTAGAACCACAAAAAAACTCTGGAGAGTGCATTGGTATTTGCTAGTGGTTTTTAGTACTTTCTGAAATAACCTTGTATCTGTAAAGCTGACTTGCGATTTTCTTTTATGGTTTGCATAGGTTTGTTCTAGCCTTCTTCACTTGATGCTATATAATTTAAGTTTTTCTAGATTACTTTCATTTTATTTTATTTTATCTGTTCATTAAAACTTTCAAAATTTGAAGACTTGGTGTTCTTCAGAATGAGGTAAATGGTAATTATAGGAATGACCCTCTGTGAGCAGATTTGATGTTTAATATTCAGACTTGGAGGAAACATGGGGATGGATTTTTTTTTACTCTAAACACATTCTTCACTTTATGAAACGATTTACTTACTGCTTATGTTCTTTTACACGGCCAGCATATTTAAGATATCCAAACTATATTTTATATAGACTGTACGGAGATGTATTTTATTTGAATGGAGGTGTCACCTCGAAGTCTTTCAGGTAGATAAAGATGCTTGTACTGCTACCTGGCCCCTCTGTTTCACAGTAAGATGTCAAATGGTTTTCCGACATCGTGTGCTCGTTTTGAACAGCATCAGATGTTGCCATAACAGATGAGACATAACCCAGTAAAAGTGACACATAGAAATGTATCTTACCATGTTGCTTTGCTAAGATACTTTTCCACAGAAACCAAAACCCAAACCCAAACAAACCAAAACCCATCTTCCAGATCTGTTGTGTCCCATAGGACCGACAATTTAGAGTTGTTTATATTTTGAACATGTAAATACTTGGAGCCTTGAAAAAATCTGTTAAGGCCCAAGGACAAAAGACAATCTTGATTAATAAGCATTATATCTGATTGTAAAGTAGCTCATTCCTTCAAGAAACGCCACAAGTGTGACTCACAGTTTCAACCCCCAAAATAAGAAAGATCCTTTAGAAATATGGATTATGGCATAGACTTAGTGTTGTTTTAAAATAGATTTACATAAATGTTTGCCTAAGGCAGCTCGAATGAAGTAGTTTGAAACCCAGGACAACCCAGACTCCCTTCTGTATAGACGGATCTTTGTAAGTAATTAGCTGTCACTGCTGATGAGTTTCTGGGTCTCTTTTTTCCTACCGCACGTACGGTCTTAATCATTCATTCCCACCTTGGGTACGGAATGTACAGCTTTGGGCAGGTGTGCACAGGGGCACAGGTGTGAGGCCCAGCCTGGCATCTTCCCTTCCGGAAGACAGAGATGTGACTGCATTCTGCCACAGCCCATTGTGCTGGGAGGTGCTGGGGTTGGGAGCGTTGCTGCCGCAGGCTTGGTCTCAGCAGACTGGCACGTGTTTCTCTGCCCTCAGATGTTCGCCCCGGGTACTGTTACACGGCTCTGGCAAATGGCCGCTGCTCCAACCAGCTACCGCAGTCCATCACCAAAATGCAGTGCTGCTGTGACACCGGCAGGTGCTGGTCTCCTGCGGTCACTGTCGCCCCTGAGATGTGTCCCATCAGATCGACAGGTAAGAGCTACCAAGTGGCCTGCCGGCGCTTGCAGGTCCTGCAGCGAGCTTACAGCAGCTCAGTGCATTGGATCCCAGGAAGCGGAAGCAGTGAGATCCCGGAATCTCTGCACATCATGCCTGGGGAAAATGCAGCGATCTGGCCACGGAGTATGATTGTCAGCTCCCGTTCCTTTCTTAGCTGGCTTGCTGCCACTGCATGGCGGCCTTCACAGGAGCTTGCTGCTCCTTTTAGTCTCACGAAAGCTGTGTCTCTCCTCTGGCGCTCTGAGGCCCCGAAGGGTGAAACTTAGCTCGCCCAGACCTCACATTTCCTCTTTCCCTAACATACGGGACTTTCCGCTTTCTTGTTGCCAAAGCCTGTTGAGTTTTTCCCTTCACTACTTCTCTTTTATCTGTCATATTCCTTTCATTTCCACTAAAAGCTTGTTTTCCTCCACCCTGAACTATTGATGTGGCCACCCAGCGAGTCCAGGTGAAATTCACAGCTGCAGCATATGTTTCCCAAAGACTAATTCAGCTGAAGTTCAATTTAAAAATGATGTCCAGGGAAGATGTAAAGAATGTCCAGAAAAATTTCCCCAGGATAAATGAACCCAGGTAGTCTTCAGTGGTCTAAGTCATGCCTTTCCCTGCAAAGAAAATTTTATCGCTGAGCATAGCAGGTAAAGTCCCTACACTGAATCCCTGTTCATCTTTTAATTGTTCTTTACAGTAGCTTGATTTTCTAATTGTAAGACAGAGTTTTCTTTGAATTCAGTCTGAGTGTTTCTGAACTCACTCTTTTTTCCCCTAAAGCTTCTGCTCAGTCCTGGTCCTTGCACTCACCCCTTGCCGCCCTGGCTTATTGTTTGTCCTCTCATGTGGTAAGGACCCAGTCAAACATGACCAGCAGCCCATGGAGATCCCAAGAATAACACTCCCAAGAACATACCCTCTTCCTTGCGTTCTAGCAGCTCTGGTGTGTGCTTTGCTGTGACACAAATCTGTACTGCTCTCCTTTTTACCCACATGTGTTCATGTGTTGCTTTTCACTGGCCAGTAAACCTCATTACAGGGTCTTGTTTGTTTTGTAATCCTGTATTTCTCATGCTTTCTTATGCCTGCACAGTATTTAGCAGAATCTTACTGATAGGAGACACTCAGGTGGGGTGAACAACATATTTAGTACCATTTTCTCCTCCAATTCTAACCAAATGCCGAGCTTTGTAGTTCTCTGTAATCGGATTCCTGATATGTGTGCTTAATCCGGGGCATTTAGGAGAGGCTGTGGATGCGAGGATGCACAGATGCAGCAGTAAAACTTCAGAGTCTGCTGCTCACAGGATGGAAATGGCCCATCCTCAGGGCTACAGACCCGCTCTTGGATGTTACTGTAAAATTTGTTCAGTAAATTGAACACACAGCATAAATACTGCATCATTTCTCTCATATGAGAAACCCAAAGCACAAATGGAATAAAGGGCAAAATAAAAGATTGATAAAGGAAAGAGGGGGCGGGGGATTTAGCTCAGTGGTTTCGCCGCCTGCTGTGCAAGCGCGAGGACCTGAGTATGATCCCTGGTACCGAAAAAAAAAAAAATCAAAAAGGAAAGAGGGAGATGGGTCTTTTGCCTATGGGAAGGGGAGCACTAGATGAAGGGTAGGCGTTGTGGAGAAGAGGAGATTAAAAGGTTTAAGATGCGCTGCCTGCAGGGAATGTGATCTGTATGTGGCACCAACATGAGAGCAAATATGATGCTAATGGAATGAGGGGAGGGGATCTAGAGGTGGAGGGAGGGAGGAGGATAGATGGGATAGGGGAATTAAAAGAATCAAGAAGTGTTAAGTACACGTGCCCACTCCCTGAGATGAATATAAACATCATAAGGTACAGGTGTCGTATACTCTGTCTAGTTTGCTCTCTGTGGCCTACAGTTGTAACCCATCCTCTTTACTTTACTGTGGGACCATTTTCAGGATCCGTGTTTAGAAGTACCTGACTTCTTTCTAAACATATGGTTTAGGTTCCCAGAAAACTGCTTTTTAAATGTGTATGTCAGCTTGGGTTTCAGCGGTACAGTAATACCTCAGTTCATGAACACTTCTGTCCATGAACAGTTCAGTTCACAAAGAGAAGCCTTAGGCAAAATTTTGCTTCCATTTTTGAACTCTGCATCGGATGAGGTACACAACTACAGCCATCTTCCCCAGAGTCATGGACCGAATGGAGTTCATGAACCGAGGCACCACTGTATTTCTGTGGATTCCTTGTACTGAGCCCTTGATAGAGAAGAGACGCCAAGAGCAGTGGTAGGTGCTGTTAGAAGACCTGTTTGGGGACAGGGGGAGCAGAAGACCAGGTACCTGTGTGTGGCTTTGCAGGGAGCTGCTGTCCCAGAAAATCACGGAAAGCTACAGGTCCCTGAGATGGGCCTCGGGCAAGGGAGCTTGAGCAAACTAATTTTCAACTGGGATTTTGTTTGCCCACTTATTCCAGGACCAGTGCTCCAGAGTTCTGGGCTCTACCTTGTAGAAAATGATGCTAGAGGAAGGGTTTTAGATTGGTCAGCTGTTTGCTCTTTTACAAACAAGCATCATCATCTCTGGGCTCTGTGGAGCTGGAGAGAGAGAATCAGTTAAACCAAGTGAGCCCCAGTTGCTGATCCTGGATGTAAGGGTTTCCTGGGAAAGTTATTAATCTGCACAAACTAGGAAGGGGCATAAAACCCAGTGTGACACGCTCTCCTAGAGGGTTAAGACGAGTTTAATGGCATTCTTTATGTAACATACTCACCTAATTGGCAGAAATGCCGATAAGCTGCCCACTTTCTTTCATACAAATCCTAAAAGAATTAAAAAGGAAAAGATACATGAGTTGTTAAAGGGCTTGGAAACAAAGTGAGCGCCTTAACAGAGTTGCCATTCAATTAATCCACACATAGTTGATGGAATCCTCTTACATATAATTTGCAGGGCTGGGCTGAGCACAAGAATTAGTTATTAGTTGTAGATGACCCTTGACCTCAAAGACCACACAGTCTCAGCGGTAGAAATTTGGTGGAAGCAGGGACCCGGTTGATGGATGTGGCATGAACAGGTGATAACTCTGCAGGAAGAATCGCAGTTTGACAAAAGGAATTGTGGCATCCTGAGTCAGGGAAACATAAACAGTCTAAAAATCCTTTCCATGTGTATTTGAATGCCAGAGGATCTCTGCCGGTGGTAATTCCAGAAAAATAGTAGTTAAAATGTAGTAATGGAATTCTCTGAAAACATACACTGAACTAAATTGGAAATGTGAAGTATGACAGAAGAAGTGTAAGAAATGGGCCAGCAAGTAATGACAGAGTACATAGGACGCCGGTGTGTTTAGCCACAAGTAAACTGTGTTCATGTCCCATGAGGCTGTACTGTGTATGAATTGCAGCAAGATATGTGGCTGTGTCTTAGAATTTGTCAAATTTTAGTCCACAAGGAAAAGAAAACATCAGCCTAATGTCTGTTAATGGCTGAAGGTAGTATAGGAAGTAACTATGGGAAAATCATTGTGTGAGTGAGATAATAAAATTATCAACATTCTGGCATGAGAGAAAAAAAGTTTAAAATCACATACTTAGTTTATTTATACAGCGCAACTGTGACAAACTATGGCTTATTTATATAAGAGAACTTTGACAAACTATGGCTATTTGCAGGAAACGTGAAAATGAATAAAGCGAATACATTCAGTGAAAACAGGATACTATTTAAAAATACCCTTTTAGAAGCACAGAAAGAATATGCCACAAAATTAAAGAAGATTTATTCTGCTAGAGACTTGGCGTTGTGAAAAACAGCAGCCAACCTAACACTGTGCGGTTGAGGGGAAATAGGTGATTAAATTGGTGCGTGCTCTTTGTGAAGATCCTGGTGTGGCACCAGCACAGACTCCTTACACTGTGGTCTCCTCCTGGTGGGGACCACCTCTCTATTCTGTTGGCTCTACACTGCTTTATCCTTTCCTTCCACTTCTCTTGGATGTGTTCATCTGTCCTCATGGCGAGCGGTGTCCCCATACCACCTGTCTCCTGAGAATGACACAGCTTACGCTGCCTTCTCCTAACTTCTGTGTGATGTCTCCACTTCCATAGCCAGCAGCTCAGAACTCAGGTGTTCACTATGGAGCTTGGTTTCTACCCACCAAACCCAGCGCCGTGAGTTTTGTCCTCTTATTCAAGGACAACATCTACCCACCCGATCAACCAGAAACAAAAAAAGCTAAAAGTCATTCTTGCTTCTTGTTCCCTCAGCTCTAATATTACCTCCCTCGCCAAAGGCTTCCATTTATCTCTAGAATATGCTCAGGCAAAGCAGCACATTCTGACCCAGTTCCATTGCTGCTTCCTCATCCAACCCTTGGTTTTCTGCAAACTCCTCGTCTCCCTACAGCTCATTCTGCATGTCATGGAGAGTGAGCTTCTGAAAAGGTCCCTCTGATCACATCCCAGCCTTGCCGGAGACCTCCAGGGGCTTCCTGCTGCCCAGAGCTTTCACAATGAGCTCCATCCCAACCTTTTATTCTGAGACAGGGTGTCACTGCATCACTGAGTTGCTCAGGCTGGGTTCAAATTGCAATCTTCCTGCCTCAGCCTCCCAGAGTGCTGGGATTACAGGCTCACATGGGCACACCCAGCTTAAACCAAAGCTATTTTGTGTCTCATTAGAGCTCTGTGGAATCTGTAAGTAGGACCAGATGCAGAAAGTGGCATCTATCTTATGTTTTCCATGAGGTGGATTTTGATCAAGGTAAAGATTCCCTGGGTTTGGGGACGAGCGTGCAGCACACGCTCTTGAGAGTTGTTGGCTATTGGAGTAAGGCATTAAAACTGGGAATGAAGTCAGTTAATTTCTTTGCTTTTCTCTAGTTGACTCATGTGCCATACAGACCCAGTTTAGTCACAGATTCCTTTTAAAAGATCTCTGTGGGTCTACGATGTCAGCTGCAGTTCAGCTGACTGTGTTATGTTGTGTTTTTCAGAGGATTTCAACAAGCTGTGCTCCATCCCTATGGTGATTCCTGCGAGGCCAGAGTACCCCCCTCCACCCCTTGGTCCCCTTCCTCCTGTCCAGCCCGTCCCTCCTCTCTTTCCTTCTGGACCTGTTGGTCCCGTCCCTCGGCCGCCAGTCGACTATCTGTATCCATCTCGAGAACCAAGTAAGAATTCAGAAGCCCTCTAGTAATTTTTCTTGCATTAATCAGGTTAGCATTTTGTTTGTTTTTGCTACTTTATTCATTACATATGTTTACCAATGACTAAATTAAATTTTTAGCTTATGTAGCATTATATACCTGTTTTCCAAGTTTCCTGATGCACAGACAAAAGTGGAAGTCTTGTATTTTCCAGAGACTTATGTCATTTTGTTACTGATGTTTTCAGCCAGAGACAGGAGGGTTAGGGGAGAGATTGAAGTCTGAGTCACAGGGTGAGTTAATAGCAGAGGAGGTACACAGTTATGCTTCGGGTGATACTGGATGCAAAACAGCTTTGTGAGTAGTTAACTGCCAGTATCTCACCACCTCTGTTATTTCCCCAAACTGGAGGCTTCAGAGTGGCATGGTGAATGGGCTAGGAGAAGCAGCACCTGGCCCACAGTGCACGTGGGTCCCAGGGACATTCGCTCTGTCGGTGCACCTTTAGGGTGACCTTTGCACAAAGGTTGTCCTCTTCCCTTATGACCCAGCATCTTGTTCATTGGTGCCAGATGCAGCACTGGGGAAAGGTGCTATCATTACAAATGATATTAACGGGGTTCACTGTTCTTCTTCCAGTGGTGGTGCCATTCAATATCACCACCGATTATTGCCAGTTGGTCCGCTATCTCTGCCAGAATGGACGCTGCATTCCCACGCCTGGGAGCTACAGGTGCGAGTGCAACAAAGGCTTCCAGCTGGACCTCCGGGGGGAGTGCATCGGTATGTGGTCTGTTGCTCAGGCCAGGAGGCCTCGGGGATTCGGTCCCATGACTGTACTGGTTTTGCTATTGCTGCTGGAACAACTTACCTTGAGCTTAGTGGCTGAAAACAAGACAAATGTATATTGTCTTTCCGTTCCATGGATTAAAAGCCCCATGCAGATTGGAAGGGGCTGAAATCCACGTGGTGACTGGACTGGGTTTCTTTGGGAAACTCTCAGGGAGAGAGCACATTTCTTTGCTTTTTCTAGTAGGGCCTTGTGGCCCCTTCCTTTGTCTTTGCAGCCAACAGTGTAGCTTCTCCGAATTTCTCTCTGTCTCGACTTTTCTCTTCCAGTTCCCTGTTGCCCATTTAAAGGCCTCTGGGGTTAAATCAGTCCACTTTTGTAATAATTCAAGAGACTCTTCCCATTTCAGAGTCAGCAGATTAGCAATCTTAATTTCATCTGCAACTTCAAATTCCCTTTTACCATTATAACATAATCCTAGGTTCTGGGATTAGGATATGAACAGAGTTGGGGGGGCTTCAGTCTCTCTACTACAGTGACCTTAAACTTGTAAAATGTATCCAAGCCTTGCTGTTAACTCCAACCTAAGTCTTTTTATCAAAGGCCTGATCACTACGTTATAAAAGCCTGACCCATATTATGACACTTTGCATATTTTACTAAGTTTAAATGGGTAACTTATCAGCTTTCTGTAGTTATTCATTAAAAATTGAAGAAAGAAGGCACAGATTATTGACAAGTCTTGTAAGCTATTGAAAATAATACAAGAATCATCAATTTGTTGGGTTGAGTAAAATCATCCAGTTGACATTTTCTTTGTTTCTAAAAAATAAATTCATCTCTGAGTCAGTTCCATTATAAATTCCAATTCTATCACTGTGAATCAGTTCATGCTTTCAAAAGCTGTGTCATTTCCTGGTGATCTGAACACTCCTTCTAGAAGTCATCAGAGCTGGGGAGCAGAGGGACCACGTAGCTCAGGGTGGGGAATGCATCGGCCCCTAAGAAGCACATGGACAGGTGGCTTTTATCTTCATACACAGGGGTTATGAACCCATTTGCCCCTTCTGATACCGATTACTCTAAGCATTAGTGGGACCCATCGTGTTGAGGAGTCTGGGGGTGATGGTGGACTCCATGATGGGTGACAAGCACCCTTTAATCAACAGTTGGTTCCTGCTTTGTTCTGACATCCTCAGCAGAGCTCAGCAGGGGACGTTAGGTATGGGTAGGCCTTCTTTTTCATTGAAAAATGCAGAGCATAGAGAGATACTCAGAATCCTATCCAGAAGCTACTTTTGAAATTAAAATTAGTCTACTTGATTTTCTTAGGCCATAGATTAAATGGGTAACTTCTGTTTCTCATGGAAGAGGAAATGATTATTAGCTTGGAGCCTTGAGTTGCTGTGCACTTGGAATTTGTCTCTGAAAAATGATGCATGAAAATGAAACCTTGAGCTGCTCATCCAGGCTCCCCATGGCTAGAGACAGTGCATCGCAGTGGAAAGGAAAATGATCCTTTCCTTACTCTAGTTATCGCTTTAAAAGAGCATGTCTTAGATGTACCAAAGAAAGCTATTCTGGGCCAGGGGTTTAGCTCATTGATTCCGGCACCTGCCTCACAAGCGCAAGGTCCCGAGTTCAATCCCCGGTACCAAAAAAAAAAAAAAAGAAAAAGAAAGCTATGCAGCTGCAGGATTATGAGCTATTGCTTCTGATCTCTTACTAACATCACTGTGCCTTGCAGATGTGGACGAATGTGAGAAGAATCCTTGCATGGGGGGAGAGTGTATCAACACGCCGGGCTCATACACCTGCCACTGCCGCACTGGCTACCAGAGCACGCTCACCAGGACGGAGTGCCGAGGTACACAACCCTGCGGGCTTTCTGAGCCAGATGAGGGCTGGGGGCTTCAGTGGACTTTAAATGACTCATGTCAGGAGAAGTCAATCTAGTCTCACTGCTTTTTGCACTTTATTCCAAATATTGTCGCAACGAAGATGGTGTCACAAGACTTGGCAGACACTCAGGTTGTTTTAAAAGCTACTTCTGTGCCCAGGGGAAATACCTCCGTCTTACTTTCGCTTCTTTTTCTGTCTCATCACCATTGCCAGTTGGTTTTTCATCTGAGAGCCAGGGAATTCAGTTATTCTTTGGATCACAGAACCTAAGGACAGTTGTAGGTGAAATTGTGTGCACTTGATTTCTTAATGCAAAGGTCTAAAGGGTCAGGAAGTTGTCTACAAGCCCTTGTTGCTTGTTATTGTGGCCGGCAGCAGTGTCACCTGGTAACTGGTTGGAAATGTGGGATCTTCGGTCCCACCGGAGACTGACTGAAAGGGGATCAGCATTTGAACAAGATTCCTCCATGGTCTGTATGCTTATTAAAGTTGGAGAAGCATTGCTATAAACTTCCTTACCTAAAAATTTTCCCTCAGGTTTATTTACTAATTAATGTATTAAGCCATTCAACGTGGATTTACTAAATGACATGTATGTACTATGCTTCTGGGACAGAAATAAATAAGATATGCTGTCTACCCTGAAGGAACTCAAATCTTGATCCCCGTGTATAAGTTTGGCACAGGCTGAACTGTGCCCTTGATCTCATAAAGGCAGATAAAAATAAGCTAGCAGTGTTAAAATTAAATACCAGGAAAAGAAAGGAGGTTTATCTCATGTAAAAATTGGAAGCTGTTAAGAAGAGGTCATTTTATTTGCCTCCTATAGCAAAAATTCTTCATGTTGGGTGAAGACCCACAGAAGTTTTAATTTTTATTGGTGAACTGGTTTCAAAGTCTTTTGAGTTTGGTTCTGATTTGGAGATATATCAATATATTTTGACACATTACATAAAAATGGCAATTTTGAGCAAAAAACTCATGGAACATAGCATTTCAACATGCTAATAATTCTACTGATGGCTTACAACAATTAGGAATCTGGATAGATTGAATATTTAACCAAGTTGAGAACCTTCTTAATATTATAACTGTTGATTAAAGTAATTAACTTGTACAGACTATGTCCTGGGAATTTTGCAAAAGTAGAAAATAAGATACGTGGTTAAGGCACTGACCAGAGACTTCCTTGTAAAATAAGTGAAGAGGAATCATTTTGAGAGGACTCATCAGTGGCAGGGACCAGGCAGGGTAGATGCAGACAGTTAAGTCTGAGGCTTAATTTACCAGAGATAAAGCATGATTTAAATACCTAGAACACTTCTTTTAAAAAATTCATTCAACAATTTTATTTGCATCTATTAATTTTATAAAATATTGCTTTTCAGTGTGCTATTTCCATAATGCAGTAATGTGTTTCGATCGTGTCTATCCCTTCTGTTAGATCCCTCTGCCCACTCATTCCCTCCCTTTAGTCCCTTCCTCTCACCTAATAAATGCCTCCCTTCTTCTTGCATGTCACCTTGCTCTGGATTCCGCCTATTAGGGAGGATGTGTGACACTTGTCTTTGTGAGTCTGGCTTATTTTGCGTCACATGACGATCTCCAGTTCCCTCCGTTTTCCCTCACGTGATACACTTGTATTGTCTTTCGTGGCTGAGTGATGCCCCGTTTTGTGTATATATATGCCACATGTTTTTATCTGCTCGCCTGTTGATGGCCCCTATGATGGCTCTGTCTCGTGGCTGCTGTGATTCGTACTGCAGTACACATGTGTATTAGGGGTCCCTAGAGTGGATCCGATACGGGCCTAGCTTAACATAAACCTGAGAAGCCATGAACATGCTCTTGCTGTCCGATAGATGGAAGCTGCCAGGGAAGGGCCCAAAAGACTGTGTCCTTAGCAGAAAGGAAGCACGCGAAGGGCCAGAGAGGGGACAGAAGAGACAGACAGCAATGCAGTGGAGGAGAACTTGGAATGGAAGCTTTTATAAGGCTTGGGAGCCCCCTGGCATTCAGAAATTGGTGAGGAGAGGAAAAGATGAACTCTTTTTGCTGTTTATTTTAATATTGGGCCTCAAATCCGATTCCTAAAAAAACAGTCTGGTCGAGAATATGTGGCTTTTCCTAGTTTTTTGGAGCATGGAGTAAGTCAGATTTTAGCAAGGACTAAGAAATAAAAGAGAGAGAAAAAGCTCCTAGGCTGTTGGCACAAAGATCAGACAGAAGAGAAGCCCAGACGGCCTCAGCTAGCCCGGTGACTCGAGGGAAACCACTATAGGAGCTGTCCAGAAGAGGAGAGCATCTGAGGGTCAGACTGGGGCCGACGGAGGGATAGACTTGCCACCAGGGCACAGCCTGGCCCGGGCAAGTGCGGCCACTGCAGGGCCTTGGGCGAAGGGGAGGTCCCCATCCAGCCCTGGGCAGCTGTCCTCCGGGTATGAGCCCAGGGAATGGTTTCCGCTGTGTAGACAGTCTGTGTGCGTCTCGACGTTCATCCTGTCTGCAGCCCCTCCACTGCAGGGAACCACCGAGGGGGATTAGATAGGTAGTTAAGAGATCAGATCCAGGTTATTTGAGTTCTCATCATTTTCAACACTCCCTCATCAAGCCCTGTTGTTTACTTTGGCACAGTAAGAAACAATAGAAAAAAGGGTCCAATCCAATATTTTATTGGATAAATAGAATACTCATCAAATTAATTTAAAAAGACTAAGACTGTGTGAGCAGTAAAAGTGTACTTGGACCAGAACTGCCATAAGGAAGGTAGCCATCTCATAGTCTTGTGATTGATGGTTTTCAGGGGGAGTAAAGTGATTTTTATTAATTTAACCTTCTGTTTTACTGTTCTGATAGAGTTAGAGCTGCCCTTTTAGGGGGCTGCAAAGGAAGGTAATGGGGTGGGCAGATGTGAACAGGTGTTTTATGCAGATGAAATTTAAAAAAAAATAAACAAGGATCTGCCCTTTAAATCTTGGGTTGAATGATAACCAGCCATGGTTCAGTATAAATCATGATCTACCCTGACTCAGTAAATTAGCACGCAAACTGGTGAAGACTCTATTTTGTTGACAGAATTGAGATTTAAGAAGTCTGAGTATAAGCTAGGTTAGATTGGATATGATTGTATGGGCTTTTCTCCTGACCCGTGTGTTTCAGACCACGATGGCCCCTAATGCCGCGCTACTGGGTACCCAGCTTATGTTGAAGAGCATTAGTAAGTAAATGCAACCCAAAGTTAAGGCCATGAGTTAGGAAAAGGAAGGAAGGAGACATAAAGCAGTTTCAATATTGTTTCTAAGTCTGCGGTACCAGGGATCGAACCCAGGGCCTTCATGCTGGGCTACCTCCCAGCTCTTTTGACTTTTTCATTTTGAGGCAGAGTCACGCTGAATCACTGAGCTGCCCAGGGCAGACAGTCTTAAATCCCCTCCCTGCAGCTGTTTCTTCTTTCCTCCCTTTGTGCAGACATTGACGAGTGCTTGCAGAACGGCAGGATCTGCAACAACGGCCGCTGCATCAACACCGACGGCAGCTTCCACTGCGTGTGCAACGCAGGCTTTCATGTCACGCGGGACGGGAAGAACTGTGAAGGTGAGAGGTGTGCGGGGCTGGGCCACTTCAGCTCGAGGCCTGGGAGCAGAGCTCTGTCCCACACGCTGCTGTGGGGATCCAGCCCGATCCCCACATCCACCTGTGCTTCTAACTCACATCTGCGAGTCAAGCATTTTACTCCACTGAGAGAGCTCGGCATGGGAAGAGCTCTGGTGACGACGGAACTTCTGTAGCATAAATCACTGCTTCCTACTCTTATGAATTCAGAATTTGTGTGTATATTCGCAAGCCCATGTGTTCTCTAGTCACCCATACTCCTTTTGTTCACAATGGCTGCCTGATAATAAAATGCTGCTCATCAGTACCGAGAGTGGCTGCAGAGAGCTCCGCTTCTCTATTGCTCAGAATTCCTCACCTCTTTGGTGATTGGGAAGTTTCATTCTTTTCACACCTGCCAGTTTTTCCTACCTGGCTGTTACAGATACATTTCTATCTCGCAGACCTTTAGTGAAAGTGAAGATGGATCCTTATCATGTTTTCCAGTGTCTTTGGGAAGGACCTGGAGAATCTGTCCATGTTATAAGATTTTCAAAATTGTTTTTAGAAACCTTTTTGGCAGAATGTTATCTTGGTGATTCCATTCAAAGACAGTGCCAAAATTTGGGGTTGAGGTAGAATCCTGTTGGAAGGAAGGAAGGAAGGGAGGGAGGACCCTAACTACTGTGGTCCGACTCCAGGCTGTAAGTGTAAACACACTGCATCTATAAGAGCAAAAGCCTCCCAAGACAGCTGTAATATTAAACACGATCACACGGCAGTGGTTTCAATGACAGTCCCCATGATTAAGGGCCCCCTGAAGGTTAGCAGGCTCAGCTTACTCTGCAGGCCAGTCTTGCATTTTACAATCTGATTTTTTTCTACCACTATTTAAGGTTGCTTCAAAACACATACAAGCTGTCTTCTGGTTTCTACATTTCATAGAAGCTAGACGTAGCCTAGATAAAGTTATAGTTCATCCATCGAAGTTTTGATTTATTTCAGCATATTAGAAGCAATATGAATCTGTGAAATAAATAAGCCAACCAGGCTCTTAGACCTATTTCAGTTTGTAATCACATGGTGTTTGCACATAGCCAGTCACATGTCATGTACTTTGGAGGAAAATTAAACATTCACTGCACTAGAAGCAGACCCACATTTGTCTAGGTTGGCTTCCGGTGCATGTCCTCGTCTGACCCTGGGAACACGTCTGTCCCTTTCAGATATGGACGAGTGCAGCATCAGGAACATGTGCCTGAATGGGATGTGCATCAACGAGGATGGCAGCTTCAAGTGCATCTGCAAACCTGGCTTCCAGCTGGCCTCGGACGGGCGGTATTGCAAAGGTGTGGCTGCTTTTCCTGCTCTCCACTTCCTCATGGGGGTCTCCCTCTTTAAGTAGCTCTCATTGTGGTTGGGGAGCCCCAGCTCCAGCTCCTGCTGAAGTCCAGCCCTCCAGAGTGCTGGAGTTTATGATCAGAACTCTGTTTTTGTTTCAGAAAAGGTATTTGGGACCTCCCTAGGGGAGCCTGACATAGCAAATCAAGAAGTCGAATGACCACTTGGTCTTCTGGCAGATTGGGAATCTTTCTAAAGAAACTGGGTTCTGTCTTCCTTATCCAGTTGGGGAGCCAGGCCATTCCACTTTTTGCTGGCTATCTTTGGCCACCTTTTACATCTCCATCTGGACAAAATACTGGAGACCTTTCTTTGCAGTGATAGCTTCATCATCAAAGTATCTTCAGAAAGAAAATAAATTTCATAGTCAATGTATTTAGATTTTATCAAGTTACATAACAAAGGGAAATGGGATTAAGCAGAAGAAAGAAACAAACCAAGAGCCATTGTTTAGCTTGGTAGCTTTTGAAATCATCTCATTGCTGTGGGTCCTGAGGCAAAAATTAGGAAGAGATTTATTTGTGCTGTTAAAAATTGGGGTCCTGAAAAAAGTCAGTGGGGATGAATTTGTGGTTATTGTCCTGCTTTATGAGCAATTTCTGTGATTGGGCCCAAGATCTAAGTTGGAGCCAGACTTTAGAAAGATCCTTGGACCCAAAATAGTCCAGAAAATCTGCTTTAATGTCCTGCACTTCGAACCTCTATTCATAGTTTCAGATGCAGAAGAACGGTGTGCCAGGCTATGTAAGGTTGTCCCCAAGGACAAAGTCACATGGGGCCTGTTCTCTGAGTGTCCCTAGCAGACAGCTTTGGTGAAGGTGTTACGGAAGAAAGGAGATTGACAGGCAGACAGCAGGCAGGCAGATCTCTTGGCAAGAGGTGTATTTTCTCCAGGCTTAGAAGAGCTTCTAGTCATTGGCTGGTCACTTGCATTCTCTATGCCCTTCAGACCACTGGCTCTTAATATTGTACAAATCTTTCTTTGAAGCAAGAGAAAATAGCTGGGATTTTCAGATTCTGAGGGAGGACACTGGTTTCTGGAGTTTTGAGCGTTGTGCTGGGAGGAACTCGTATGGGATGATGGCATTAACACATGGCAAAATTCTACACCGAAAGACGGCGTAAAACAAAGTATCAACTTGTGCAAATTAAGTGGCATTCAAGTGAAAAAGAAAGGGGAAGGGAATGACTGCCCGACTATTTGGAAGGAGGCTTCCAAACCAAATAGTGGAAGGAAGTCTGAAAGCCCCTTTGTGAGCAGGACTTGTGTGAGAACACTCACTGTCCCTGCCAGTGCACGGCACACACTGAGGTCGCCCTTGGCTGCCTGGGGCTGCGGGACCGGGCGCCACCTGTCAGTTTCAGAAGACACTGTGACCTCGTGGGTGAAGCTGGGTTTGGCAGCCACTGTAGCACCCTGTCCTAACACAGATGATTTCGTTCATTAGGAAGCCCTGATGATTCTAGGGATTTGCTCTGACTTCAGCATTCAGCTTGAGGTCCAGAGAGCTCTATGGCTCCATGTTATTATTTTGTTCTAGAGCAGAGAGCACAGACACACCTGCTGTCATCCATGCAATGATAAGACTTATGGAAGGAAAGAGTCATTCTGGGTACGCTGACTTTCTTCCTTTTTATTGATCTTTTTATGCCGTGGGACAAGATGTTCCCGTAGTGTTGAGCACTTAGTTCTGAGCTCACAGAGTCGTGACTGTTCAAAGCTGTATCAATAATGCTCATTTAATCTATAGATTTATTAATCCGAGGAGAAACACCATGGCCTCTCTGGCCATGCTGTCAAAGTTTCATCAGCCTCAAATCCCTTGGTATCTGTGACTCCTTAGACTGTCGTATCCGCTGGGTCACTGTGGGTCTCATCTGGAACAAAAAATGACGGAAATAACTGAACCAGTTTGAGTTCATGTGTTCAAATATAACTGCTGTTTTAAATACAATCTGTGCACAGAATCTTGGACCATCTGAATGTATTTTGTGCCAAACAACACAAGCCTAGTAAAACATGGAGGTGTTTCACTCTCAATTTTCCCTTTTAAGGTCAGGAGAAAGGAAATAGTCACACATACTAGTTGTATATTGTAAAAGGACTTGTTATAAAATGACTTGCTTGTAGGTGTCCCATGTTTTCCAAAACACAGTTTTGGTACCTTTCCTTCTTCCCTGTATTAAGGAGGGGAAATCGCTGCTCTTACTACCAGTATTCATCCAATGAAGTCTTTTACCAGATCTCCCTGAGTATATACCTATGATACTGTAAAATACAGTGTTTAAGAAAGATTTTTTTTTGTGCTGGGTTCCAGTTGCCTGCAGTAATTGGCACAAAATGGCCATCAAAATCATCTGCATTCATTTGCTGTTCTTTTTCTATGGTGTTCCTTCAGGGCTTGAGCTGTGTATCTCTTAATATCAGATAGTACCAGAGGACTAAGACGAGGGTAGTACTACATATTGAATGTCAACAGGAAAAGCTTCCTATTCTGTCAAAGATGCAGTTTATTATCAGGCTGGATTTCCGGCACAACTACTACATGATGTACCACATAAAACCCTTTGTTTTTTATCAGTCACTTTCCCTCTTGCTCCAAGTTTGTTTTGACCTTTATGATTCTTATTTGGGATAAAAAATCTTTGGGGAGGATATTATTGAAGTAGGTTTTAATGGGAAAGTACAGGCTCAAGCACTTGCTTCCTCTTGATCTTGTTACTGTTTTTTCAAAGGAAACCAAGAATGCATCTCATTGGCTCTGTACTGTGATGCTGCACTGTCATTTTCTGTCTCACCCATGTCCGAGTGTTGCGGTGGCAGGCCTGTTACGATGTCACGTAGAAGCCACCCGTTTTTAACAAGCGCTTTCCTGTCCCAGACATTAATGAGTGCGAGACCCCCGGGATCTGCATGAACGGGCGCTGCGTGAACACGGACGGCTCCTACCGCTGCGAATGCTTCCCGGGGCTGGCCGTGGGCCTGGACGGCCGCGTGTGTGTAGGTAAGAAGAGGGAGTGCTAGGCTTACACAGGAGAAGCGCCCATGTCATCAGTGAAGCCTCTGCTCTGGAGCAGGGGACCGCATGGGGAGTTGCAGGGCAGCAAACCCTCTGGGTTCTCTTCTTGCATCAATTGGATATTAATTTAAGGAACAGAATGATGAGCTGAGATGAAGGAAAAATTAAGGGATCCCCACCTCTCTTTCCCCTTTTTATTCTCTCATATACAGTTCTCCTCAGTTTTTTCTGACCTTTCTCTCTTGGTTTGTCGGTAAACAGAGTCCAAAAAAAATGTATGCACACTTCAGGAAAAGAAAAATAATAAATGTGAGGAAGCTCACGGTCACCACTTTGAGCCCCTTTTGTACTTGTACAGACCAAAAGTAACTTGTATTCATCTCATGCTGTCTTGATAGATTTAGTATTAAAATAGTTATCCAAGCTTTTCTCTTCCTGAAGTGTGTATACATTTTTGGGTCTCTCTCTGTCTCATTGATGCGCTCATTGATTCTCAGTGAACATTTTAATAGAGAATTAAATGTCCAAGGGAAGTGTAGACTACAAAAGAAAATATGGTTAATACAAAAACACGTGATAATACATTTATGTGGCTTTATAAGAAGTATGAGACCTGTCAAAAAATAGATATGAATTTCATCCAAATTATTTTTTCAAAAGGTATACAGCAAACTTTGAATTGGGAAAGGATTGGGCATAGCCACAAATTCCCTCTCCGGTGGTCTAGATGACCAACCAGCATCTACAGAATTGTATAATGAACCTTTTACAGATTAAGCTTTCTCTTTTTTGGAACGTACACCTAATTTAGGCACTCAGTGATTGCATATTTATTTTGGGATAGACCACATTTCTAATAAAGGTCTTACTTATCATGCTGTGAGGTGCAAGTTGTTCAACATGAAGACAAAAATGAATGAGCTGTAAGCCCAGCACTTCGGCCCCAGTTTCCAAAGGCAGGGCGATCTCCAGAAACCTGACCGAGTCTGGCTGCTGGCTTCATTCCGCAGCTGGGAAGCTGAATGTGCTGCGGTGTTTTCTTTTATTTTTACTTCCTCACTGCTGAGCTCCCACAGAAAGCAGAGGTGTTCTCCGTGAGCTAGAGAGGGGCGGGATACGTAAGGGCAGCTGCCGCGGTGGCCTGGCTGCTCCGTCAGAAGAGCGCTGCGGTGACAGGTGTGTCCTCCCCTGCAGACACACACATGCGGAGCACCTGCTACGGGGGCTACAAGCGGGGCCAGTGTGTCAAGCCCCTGTTCGGCGCCGTCACGAAGTCCGAATGCTGCTGCGCCAGCACCGAGTACGCGTTCGGGGAGCCCTGCCAGCCGTGTCCCGCCCAGAACTCAGGTACGTGGGGTCACACGGAGGCCTCGCGCTGGGTCTTCTGCCGCCATCTGCGCCTCCGCACTTCCGGAAGTCACGGGGAAGGGGCGCACTGTGCCTTTGGTGCATCGAGTGCCTTCCGGGCAATGACGGAAGCAGGGCCTGAGCACCTCAGGCCTCCTCCTGCCTGTGGCATCTGCGGGCGCTCTTAGAGCACAGCAGTGTGAAACCAAACAATTTCTGGACGACCTGAATATTCCCAGCAGTTTCCCACAAGGCCATTTGTGAATTTTGTTCCCATCCTACACGTTGATGTTGGAGTGCTGTTCTCAAATGGCTTTATTCACCTCAGGGAAAAGGCCTTTCTCGGCAGTCCAGGAGCCCTGCACAGGGAAAGAGACCTGGGCGGCAGATCAGAACTCTGCCTCTTGCTCCCAGGCAGCACGGTTCTTAGTTATTCGTGCATTTTGGTCACTTAAGGATTTGAGATGACTTATGTAAATGAGCGTAAAATAATACAGTGTGGAAAAAGCATCCTTGCTCTTCTCATTTACAAATTGATTTGCCTTAGACAAAAAAAAAAAGGGTCGTTGAAGTTGTAAATGATTTCTTTTGGTAAAGCAAAAATAATTCGTTGAAATTAAGACAATAGGCTGTCAATATTTGAACGCAATTTAACATAGCTTGGCAGTTGACCAGTGGGTTGGCTTACGTCTAAGATCCAGCCAGTTCATTTCTGCCCAAAATAAATGAACAAAAGTTAATGTATAGTTTTAAATGTGTAAGTAATTTTTACACCTTTCAAGCCAAGCATGTTGACAATAAAATTAACCACTGCAGTGCGCGGAGCCTGTCTTTAGTTGAGTGTGACCTCCAAAGAGCATCTTTGGCCTCTGCAAGTCCATCAAGGGACCTATGAAGCTGTTTCTCGCAGGCTGCTGCAGCTCATGGACATGGTTCAGCAGGCCCTCTTACCTCCGATGAGCTAACTCTGGGACATTCTGTCTCATGTCTGCCTACCCTCGATTCCATCCACCGCCCTGCGTGGCGTAGGAGAACCCACTCCTGACAGGCTGCTTGATGTTCCTGCAGTTGCACATGCGCTCGCGAGCTCCATGGAAATCCCACTGAGAAGGGCACTGCGACCCCCTGTCTGCAGGAGAAGAAACTGTCAGAGGGAAAGCTTGGTCATTAGCACTGGGGGCTGGGCAGATTTGAATTCACTACAAAGCAGAGCAGAGTGCGTGATCCCACCCAGGTGGAAAACAGAGGCAACAATAGTTTGCTCCCATCAGGGCTTTTCACCAGCTAATCTGAATTATGTGTGTGTGTGTGTGTGTTTTATAAAACTGACACAATTTTTTCTTGTATTATTATTTGCAGTATTTTGTGAGTGTTTTACTTAATTGTTGATGTGGGAGAAAAAAAGGATCCTTTCCCCCCCTCTCATTTTCTGGCTTTCAAACACTCAGTGGCTGCCACCTTCCCATTTCTTTCTTTTTTTGGCCCCTTTTAAGATGACTTAAAAAGAAAGGATGTTACTGGTTTTCTCAAATTATCATTTGTTAGAATATTCAGGCTCTGAAGGATTCACCCTTAATTTTATGTCTGTGTGACATGGTGCAATTCTTGAGCATTTGGAAGCCCAAGGACCCTTTGCCTCAGCAGTGGGGTTCAGTTGGCCCCTGTAAAATGCTCATCCTGTCCCCGGTGGCTGCTCTCCTTCCACTTCAGCGCAAGTGACTTTGTGTGACCACAGGCGCTGGCTGTCAGAAACCATAGGCAACCGAGGGGACGCGTTAGTTTCTTTTCCTCAGATAAAGTTACTTCTCCATTTTTATCATTCACTCATATGTTCATCTAAATATCACTGGAATTGCATGCAAAACATTCTACACTTTTAAGAACTAGAAACCCAATTGCCTCACAGTTGGGGGAATGTCCTGTGTATATCTCGATTTCATCAGGAAGATCTCAGTTTTAAGTTAGCCAACACTTCCCCTATGGATTTCTCAAGGATAACAAGTCCAGCGTCCTCGTAAATGGAAACTTTTGATAATACCTTTCAGCACACGCTAAGACGCCCTTGGTTCCCGTGAAGGGAGCTGGAGAAGCTGCGGAGAGAAAGGAGAACCCGTTAAGAAGTCGATTGTACTAAAAAACAGCTCACATTGAGCAACCCAGTTGTTCCCAAGATGGCGGGAGAGCATTTTATTAACAGCTAAGAGACCGCATTTTAACAGGCACATTTCTCTGCGAGTGTACAGTGTTCCCTCGTGAACAGAATCAAGCTATAGGAAAAATACGTTTTCTGAAAGTGCTTTGCAGAAGGGATGCTAGGACTCGCCTGGTTCCTTCAAAGCCCATTTCCTCTGTGGTGCAGAGCTCTGAAAACGAGGGCCTGGGGCCAAGCCCCCCCCCCCCAGGAGACACCTCCTTTTCCATAACCACTTTATTTCTGTTCTGTGCACTTCGGAGGAAATGATGTGTGCAGAGCCCGGGGTGGGATTGACCTGCTCTGCAGAGAAGGGGACGGCTGACTGTCTGGATTTATTGCAGCGGAGTATCAGGCGCTGTGCAGCAGCGGGCCAGGAATGACATCGGCGGGCTCTGGTAAGGATCCTGAGACTGTATGCGTGCAGGCAGCACTGTCCTTCCTGGGGTCTCCATTTGGCCCCCTGATGCCAGTCTGGCCTCACCCTCCCCTGGCCATCATGCATGCTGTATCTGGGGTGTGTCTAGAAGTCCCCATGGCAGAGCCACTGTGGCCCCACGGGTCCTTGGATTGCTGGGTGTGGGTATGGGGCCTGATTGTGAAGCAGCTGGGCCACTCCCTGGGTGCTGATGGGACACTGGGGGCTCTGGGTGTCCCTTCCTGAGAAGGGCAGCCTGGGCCTCCCGAGGAGTTTCCACTACAGTTCAGAATTGTGGGCCGCTTGAGCTGTTGTCCTCTACATCCTCAGAGAGTTTTTTAAGTCTGCATGGCTTTGTCTTTATAAGATTTTGTAACAAGTGGTGATGACAAGTAACAGAGTTAGAAGAGAAGAAAATACCTGTGTAGAAATTAGGACTAGGGAAATATTGGAGCTATAAAAAATTAAAGTAAAAGAGAACTGGAATAAGTGTAAACGTAGGTGATAAGAAGAGATTTATCTTAATATAAAAGGATTTGATTAGAAGAGATCTGAAAAGAAATGGACTGACTGAACTCATTGTCCATCCAGCAGGATTATTTTTATCATTATCTGTGGGTGAAGATGGAGGGGGTATTTGAAGGATGAAAGAGGATAAGTAAAGAAGTTTGTAATTAACAGTGGAGGGCCGGGGATGTAGCTCAGTGGCACCTGCCTGGCAAGCGCAAGGTCCTGAGTTTGATCCCTGGTACCAGAAAAAACAAAACAAAACAACAAGTAGTGGAATAAAAAAATCATGAAATGGATTTGGAGAAAAAGAAAAGAGTGAACCCTGAGCTATAGAGGAGTCAAGCGCCAGGATTTGAGTCTACCTGATCTCCGATCTCCCTCTGGGCTGCTAGAGAGCTGCTCAGTCCGAGGGAACATGGAAGAGGGGGATCCAGAGTCCTGAGGGCAGAAGTAGAGTTTTTTTTTTTTTTTTGAGCTGCCTTTTGACCCATGAGACTGAGAAGTTTGGAGCAGCTAATGAAGAATTCATGTTTTAATTTAATCTTGAGGATGTTACAGAACCTACAAAAAAGTTCGTGCCAGGGCCTGGCTTTCTCACCTTGTTTTAGGGTATTCAGAACGGTGGCGGTGTGGAAGGCAGATTGAACTGGAAGGGCTGTGATGCGGGGCAGGAGTAGAGACTTGGGCTCTGTGGTTGGATCCACTTTTCCATCTTAGTGCTTGGACCAGGAGAAGTCCAGGACATCTCTTTCAGCTTGATTTGGGGTTGGAAATCGTGTAGTTCCAGTTCAGATGCCAAATTCCTCTCAAGGACTGGGGGAAGAAAGGTTTGACTCAGAATCAGTCTTACAGTGAAAAGGGGGATCAAGCTTTCTCTTCCAAGTGAATCCCCCCGCCCAAGAAGTCCTAAGGTCATTACAGTTATTTTACTGTTATTTTTTAGCAGTTCATTTGATGTTTATTTTAGAATGTCATTGACTTGAACTTTTTGGTTGTGCAGATATAAACGAATGTGCATTAGATCCTGATATTTGCCCGAATGGAATTTGTGAAAATCTCCGTGGGACCTACAAATGTATATGCAATTCAGGATATGAAGTGGACATAACTGGAAAAAACTGTGTCGGTAAGACGTTTCATCTGTTTGCTAAGACATTTCATGCATTATTCATTCCTTCTTTTGTTGCTTGGGGGAGACTGCTCTTGGCCAGCTTAGAAGATTCAGCAAATGAATGCTTTTACACTTTGGATGTCCACATGTCTTGATTAAAGCATTTACATCAGCAAATCTAGACAGTTCATGAGCAGCCATGTATCAAATTCACTCTATGAAACAGGAGCTTCTTTGCTGTGAAAAGTGCACAGATCCGCCATTCTCGTGTGGCTAGAGTCATCCCTAGTTTTATAGAAAAAGAGTTTTTCTCCCAACCGCTTACTAGATTTCATTAGAGAAAACACAGCTTATTTTCAGTAATAACTACTCTCTGTTAAGTTTAACAAACACCATTTTTGATGTTCTAACAATCTTCCATGAAGATACCAGCCAGTGACTAAATAAATCATTGGGTTGGGAAGAAAATGGTCGACATGGGTCATTATTGCTTATTTGACATTCTGCAGTTACCTTGACCAGTGTTTCTGAAATGCACTGTCCGTTCTGTAGTGTGGTGACATCTACCTCAGGTTTCCTGGAGTTGAACTTCCAAAACCAGGGCAGCTGTCCTCAGGGGACTATGTCAGGATGTGCCACAACTAAGATATAACATGGTACATTGTTTGGACTCGGAGGCCAAACACACACTGCATCTAAGAAAATATACCTTTGTTAAAGAAGTTGAAACTTAATACACTTTAAGATAAACTAGAAGACCTCAGATGTATTTTTTACTTTCTAGTGGCCTTTTAGGACTTTGGAGCTAGGAGCCTCCTTCTGCTGTTAGTGGTGATGGTTTAGAAGCCGTGTTTGAAAGGCACTGGGCTAAGGAGCTGGTCTTTCTTTGGAACATGTAATTATTCAGAGATATTGCAGACTGAGAGGAGCAACAAAGCCCTTCTTTTAATTCTTTCAATGCAATACAGAATATAGCAGCTACCAAGCAGCTGTCTACTGAGTGCTGGACTCAACTATCTTCCAACCAGCAGCCACCAGAGTCGCCACGTGTTGTGACCCAGGAGAAGAAAGCGCTTGTCTCCCTGTGACCCTGGGCATCAAGCTATTGTGTGCTTCATGTCCCTGAAACATTTGAAGCCCTCTGGTGCTGGGGAACCCTAGATTTGTTCTGACAGGATTCTCAGCATGCTGTTCGCTCAGGCGATAACCCCAGGTTTAATGTTGCCATATTTTTTTGTGTTAAATTCTTTTATTGGTACATTGTAGGTATACAACACAATTACATTTCTCATTGGGAATTGTACCTTTACATAATGCATCTTGG